ATAGCTTAGAAATAAATTGGTATAATCATGGTCGTAGATCTCCGGCCTCTTCTCTAGTAAAATCTCCACTGTTGGATGTCCTCATCACGTCTATAATATAGAAAGAATATAAAGCAAATTGAGCTCAAGAGATAAGCACTTAAATAAAAAGGGTTTCAAACAATAAAGTATTAATCATAGTGCAGTCACAACCTTATTAACCCCAAGGGAAGATTGCACATTGAGAATGTGTATTAAAAGTCATATCATTAATAAAATCAATTGCAAAATTTCATTGAATTGATGTTGGTGGAATAGGCCCGCTCCTACCTAAACCCGTTCCATCTCAGTATCATTAATAGTCATATCAAGCGTAAAATTTCTATGCCTTGATTGGATAACATGTATGCTTTTATCTCATAGACCAATTTTTTTTCTAAAATTGATTTAAAAAATGATTATCACAAAATTATAATCAACAAGGAAAAGAATGAAAATCGGCTTTTAAAGCTCCAAATAAATTTTAGAATTGTTGGTGATGAATTTTCAAAATTTTTCAAATGCTCCTAATCATTTGTGAGCTTAATGAATGTTATCTTAAAACTCTTCATATGAAAGTTTCTAATTGTCTCCTCCAATAATATATTGATTTTTAACCCAAGCAAGATAGAACACAAATAACACCTTAGAATCTTTTAAACGCTTAGAGAAGAGTTTTGCACATCAAACTAAAAAAGTATTACTTTTTACAAACTGAAGTTATTATCCTAGGAATCATTATTTTCACTGTTGGAATCAAAAATGGCCCTCCTAAAATTCAAGCAATTTTAAATTGGCCCTCACCCAAAATTTTCACTTAAAGTACAAAATTTTCGTGGTCTATCAACTTTCTACAAGAGATTCATTAAGGATTTTAGTGAGATCATTGCCTCAATCACTAGTAATTTGAAAATGGATAAATTTTCTTGGACCTCTCAAACACAAAAGGCTATAGATCAAATTAAAATTATGAGTACCTTTGCCTATGTCCTTGGGCTATCTGATTTTTCTAAAGCCTTAAAGTAACATTTGATGTTTTTATAATTAGATCTGGTGAAATCTCTAGGAAAACTATGTGATTGCTTTTTTTAAGGAGAAATTAAATGAGGCAAAACAGCAATATTCAACATATAATTGAAAATCTTATGCAGTCATCCAATCTCTAAGACACTAATGTCACCATCTTCAAAGTTTAGTTAGTCTTCTCTCTCAAACACCCGCTCCAAATCATCTTAACATATTTCCCCACATTCTAATCCTTCTCCAAGACTAGCCACCACCCAACCCAAGCTTCACCGCCACAACAAAACCCCACCTGTAGCTCTCAGCTAAACCATACAATATTTGGATCTAATCTTACTCCCTTCTCCAAAAACTCAATTCCCAAAGTAATCTCCTCAATCAGCCAAAATTACCTCAATATGAACTAGTCTTGGCATTATCACCACCATACCCTTTCAAATCTCTCATCATTCCTCCACAAACTCCATAAAACTTCCATAAACATTAAACTAAAGATCCACATCTTTCCCTAACAATTATTCTTACCAAAAAAGTCACCACCACCATCAAACATATTGTAAAATTTCTAGACACCACCAAAAACTCAATTTTCAAAGTGATCCTCCCAATCAACCCAAACTAACTCAATACGGACTAGTCTTGGCATCCTCCCTGCTATAACCTTCTAAATCTCTCATCATTCCACCACAAACAACATAATACTTCCATAGACATTAAACTAAAGATCCAAATCTTTTCCTTACTATTATTCTCACCAAAATAAAGCCACCATCAAACATATTGAAAAATTCAAAGAAATTGTTCAAATTATTAATCCAATTTTTAAAATCCTATAGTCATGCTAATCTGATTTCATTTAAATTACATTTAGTTATTATTTTGTTAACTGACCGAATTATTATGTCCTACTTCTATTTGGCGTTATAATTCAACTTAAAGCTCTATGCCAAATTTGATGAAACTTGACTTAGGATCTAAAAATTTTTTAACGTGATTATATCATGCATGACATGAAAATCATGCACATGGAAACAAAATTTGCAGTTGATTGACCACTAATTTAAAAAATAGTTATTTTCTTTGGTGCAAGCCAAAAAAAAGACGCAATATTCACTTCTAATGGCAATTACTAAGCACCCGAAAAATTTTGGCAAAGAAATTCAAATTCATTGAAAATCACATAAGATGTAGAACCTACACCACAATCAAAAAGAACATATTTTAAAGTTTTAACCATGCTCAATCATATAAATAAAACAATCACTTAATTATCTAAGAAAAAAAGAACAATGAAATAATTCACCAAAATTATAAAATCAGTCCTCACGCGGTTACAAGAATATAAATTCCCATAAAAATCAGCAGTCATCACCATCAATACATTAGAAAGATCCATATCAGCCAACATGCAAGTACAAAGAGGAAACCAAAAACTCAACGAAATTATTTTTAGTAAACTAACTTTACATGCCTTAGTTACTCCGTTATCTATAATCACAAAATCCCTTCTCCAAACAAAAACTTGCATCGAGTCGGCAACCATGATCTAGTAATCAAAAGTTAAATCAATTTTTTAGATTTTGCAAGGGAATTCGCATCATTGAAAAGTCTACAGCATCAATGAGAATGCTACAACAGCAAAGAAAATGAGTATCTAGAAGGCAAATGATGGGATAACGCAAATGAGGTGCAGGAAGCAACCTAAAACTTCATGCAGAAGACCTTACGCAGCCATTTTCCATAAATAATCAAAACCTTAAGTCTACCGAAGTCCCATCAGTAAAAGAGCAATCCATATAACGAAGGCCCTTCAGTATCTAAAGCCCACTGAAAGCCAACTAACGGCCCAAAGGCAAATCACAGGGACCAGTGGAATAGCCCAATTCAAGAGCAAAATAGTACACCACAATATCAAAACGCAATTAAAAAACTTTCACCCAATTTTGAATTGTTAAAACATTAGGGGTGACAACCGGTTATGTATAGGAATCCATATTATAGGCACATTTCAATGAACAAAAATAAAATTAACTCACGTAAAATCAAAACAAAGAATATAGGCTTGAATGAAGTTCCTTTTACAAATGGCATGCAGTTCTTGTCGTTGTAGGTCAGTCCGCATTAAATGGAAATATTCTGAAATTTAAATCTGAACAATTGTACTAAGTAACAAGCATATTATAGAACATTTCTATCTTAACAACATACATTCAAATAAAATAAATAGATTCGTGATTGGATCCTCCAAAGAAAAATTTTGGGAGCTGAAAAGGAAATTTTAATTAGATTCATAGATTTCATTGCAGAAAAAAAAACTGGACTAAGAATAGATAAGAACTAAATGCAAGTCATCGACGAACTAAAATTGATCTGATACAACAAATTGCATCACATTCCTTTAACTCTTGCAGCCATACGTATGCTCACTTAGATTCCACATTTATCAAACTCAATGGATCCTATATACTAATAGGACAACAATGACATCACGCCTTTGTACCACTCCATGGGGCTGCATCATCAAATGGATCCTATACTGATAAATCAACATTTTATTTGGTTTCACCAATTCAAATAAACCATTGAGTGCCCCCATCCAATGTTTAAAATTGCGCAATTGGGTACTGAAGAGTTTTTCGTTCATGAGGCAAGGCGTAAGCCTCAAGGCGTTTTGAGATGTAAGCCTCAAAATTAGAAAATTGTGCAAAGTCAAAACGAGAATATAATTTGTTAGGACTCATTTCATGAATATAATTTGCAAATTCAAAATAAAATAAACTTTAATATGCTAATTCATAATAAAAATAAACATGTCAACACAAGTCCAACAGCAATTTGATTCGAGCATAAGAGTTTGTAAGAGTATGTTTTATTAGTTATTAAATGTTAATATTTACTTAATCATTTAATTTGTAAGAATAAGTTTTGTTAACGCAAGTCGAACAATAGCATACGAGTCAAGCATATGAGTCGGAGGCGCAGTGCCTACCTACTCGATCAACCAAGGATGTTTAAGGAGAGAAGAATGCCTACTGTTGCAATGAGTAAACTCCCGTCATCGTCGTCATTATTTCCAATCCAACATGAAGAACGTCGTCGGACGTTCCTGACTTCCAATCCAATAGGGCACGTCGTCGACCTATCCTGACTTCCGATCAACCATGTTACATTGTCGAAGAAGGCAAAGAAGCTTTTAGCGACTCGTTCAAAAATTTACCTTACAGGTGGTGCAGCAGACGAAGTCAAATAGCAAGAACAAAATAAGGTTCTCGATATTAGGTTTAGGTTTTAATAATTTTATTTACATTTTATTTCAATGCGAACGTCTCACTTCTATGAGGTGAGGCACGCCTTGGTATATTAGAGGCGTACGTATCACGATTTGGGTTCGAAGCATCAGCCTCAAAACATTACAGGATCGAATTGCCTTGAGGCGCACCTCTCATTGCACAATTTTAAACAATGCCCCCATCAGATACAGTTCAACTACTAAAGGACTTTGAGGGCTAGGATGGTCACAAAGCGTTAAGTACCAATGAAGAAGTAAGAAACATCTTCTTAAATCCCACCCAAGTTCTCAAATTTCTTAGTCCAGCACCACACCTAGTGTATTACAGTCAATAATTGATGCTGCTAGAACAGCATTTTATGGACGCAACTTTGCTTTCTAAATTAGCTATCCCGATCACTTGCTCCAACAAAGAAGCTTCAAAATTTTGTCCTCTTCCAATCACCTAAATAAACAGGCTTGATGCCCATCCCTCAGGAAAAGTTTATCTAAAGTAGTGAGGGAGAAGAAACAAGTAGGAAAATGTTGTCAGATAGACTAGCCAACTGTCTACAATTACATATGCTTTCCTAAGAAATAGACATTCTACAATCTTGGTACTAGTTAAAACTGGAAATCATCAATGATAAATAAGAAACACAAAGACAGACCAAACTCAAGTTGCTAAGATTTAACAGGCATCAAATGAAACAATGTGACACATTAAGATGAAATTTACCTGGCTCTTAAGAATGGTAGCAAGTTTTAGATGCTGTGACAGGAACTGAAGCCTGATCTTTTTAGTTGTAACTGAGTCACGCACCTCCGAGGTTGTTATACATTCATTATAAAGATTCTTCTGAAATCAACAATAAAAAAACTTTCAGATAATAAAAGTTAATGGTTTTGAAAGAAAGTAGAAACCATAACTGATGCCGCCAAAAATATATAAAGTGGGCAAATATAGGCATGTACAGGCAAAATTTAACTGGCAAGAAAATAGAAAAAAAAATAATACAAGCAAACTAAATGAATCTAGAAGCACTCATGTAAACTCAATACCAGATTATCAGTTCAATGATAACGATAGGAAGAATAAATTCAGGTATTGTAGGTGAATTTGTTTTAATATCAAATTATTGTCAGTTGAAGATGATTGGTGATGTCACAAAAATACGTAAACAAGCACAAGAGTGAAGCTTTATTTAGTCAACTTAACACATTATGATATAGAAGTCAAATTACTGGCAATGGAGGCATTCAATGTTCTTCATAAGGATGATGAAAGCTCAATAAATTTGTTGTGGGCGTAAACCTTTCTACTATTGTCCCAGCTAGTTTGACAACAGTAAGATGAATGGTATGGATGGATGTACCAGATATCTTATTTTACAACCAAATATGTTTAAAGTATGATAGCTGTGAGAAAACTTTTGTCCGATTTTTTTTCCCATGGTAGGCTTAAAAATAGATGTTTTTACCACAACGGTTCCACATATACTTTGACAGACATCTACAACCACAACCCAAATGGGCCCATAATGTCATGGAACTTCTCATGGAGGAAAAAAAGTCAAATACAACATAAAGGCTATTATTTTTGTATCTAAACCACCATGCAGATCTAATCAAACAATCAGAAGATGAATAAGATTGTTTGCTTCAATTGCAACTTGAACTTCAAGACTTTCTAGCAATCTCTCTATAATGCAAAGGGTAGACATTGTATGCCCTTTCTCATATGATAGTTTCTGCATTGTATAAACAGGTTGCACAGAATATAAAATTGTCAGAGGCTCACAAAAAAAGTATACATCCTTTAAAATTTTAAAACAAATGACCAATTAAATCTCCCTAAGATAATAAAGAATATTATATTCAAAATATGTTAAATCAAACAAAGAGTGGTACGCAATTAAATAGTAAATTAAAATGGTGAACTCCTAAAAAAATTTATTAAAGTTCCAAATTTATGGTACAAATTGGAAGTGAAGGGAGAAATTTTCAATCCAAATGTTGACCATGTCAAATAAGTAGCTTATCCATCCTGACCAAACTCAATGCCATGCACCACATAGAAACACACCCGTTGTTAAACAATAGGAGATGTAAATAACCCAGTAACTGTATCTTATCAAAAGGCAAAAGCAAGCAAAGTGACACATATTGCAAAGTTTACCTCTACAACCATTCTCTGAACCATCACAATAGTGTTGGTTCTTGCATTTGCACACCTCCATTGTAAGTGCCTGTTGTGCAACAGTCTCAGCATATGAGCCTCTTCAATCCGATTCTCACCTTTCCTATTTCTCCTCACCTCGGCAGCGAAGCTTAAAATTGAAGGTGCATTTGCTTGAAGGTTTGCAGGTGAGGAACTGGCCAGTGTGCTGGTACCCCTTGCTTGTGAAGGGCTAGCAATTACCCTGGATGCAGAACTTGCAGGTTTATTTGGACTAGAAGGCCTCACTGGTCCCTTGAGTGGGGAAGAAGCAGTGCGAGAAATCAGTGAAGGGCTGTCAATCAATGTTCTCCTCACAGAAGCTAGCTTCGGTGTGGATGAGTTCCTTGGGCCAAATGAAGATAGTGGTGTCGCGGGCTCTGATAAGTGGCGAAGTCTGCTATTTGTCTCCTGCCAAAATCTCGCAGGCACGCTAATGCCTCTAGAAGTGACCTGAGCCTGCCGAGGTGCATTTAGCTCAGGAGCCCCACCGGAATTGCCTCCAGATGAAACAATGTCCATGTCTGAAGAAGCTGACAGCTCTGCCCTATCAAATGACGCCCTGCCTGTACCATCGTCGAATAACGTTGACTGCCGCAGCAACTGGACGGTTGCAAGAAGGTCATTCTTCTCGGCAGAGCACTCCAAGCTTTTGGCAAGCAAACTAGATTGCCGGCTCCTGGCTGCAGGCCATCGTTGGTGGAAGTCCGAGGGCCTCGAACTCTCCAACTGCTGCGCCGCACCAGCAGCGGAGTTTCTCACCGGCGTGCTGGGACGTTTGCGCTCGGGCGTAGGCTTCCTTGAGGGAATAGGGGACGGTGTCTTCGCCTTACTGGTCTGGTAGAAGAACGATTCGCCTTGGAAGGAAACCGAGAGACTCCGGGTAGTGGTGCAGAGGGCCCTCGCGGCATTCGAGCCCTCGGAACCACCACCACCACGGGGATCTGGCCGTGGGGTGGACGGGCGGGTCCGATCCACCGACTGCGACCGCTTCGCGGGCGGTGTCGAGGGTCGGGTGTTGAGAACAGGGGAAGGAAATCGCCGAGAAGAAGAGGAGTAGGAGGAGGTAGAGGTAGTGGTGTTGGACGAGTAGGAAGTGGACGTAGTAGAGGAAGATGAAGAGTAAGAGGAAAGATACCTTGACGTAATTTCCTTGGTCCGTGGTCGCCGAGAAACAGCGGCATTGTCTCTCTCGGAGGGAGTTAAGGGTCGGCGCGACGGAATCGGCGGCGGATCGTTCGGCCGATAGGCGGCGGTAGGGTTTTTTCGCGCAGCGGAGGCCTCGGAGGCCGAAACCACCATGGCCTCCGTCAGGATCTCCTCTCTTACACGGCCGCCTCGCCTTAATATCACCCTCTAAAAGTTCGCCGTTACAAAAGGAATAAAAGATACCAGATCGCCGTAGCCTCGCCCCTCACTGGCTTCGCTTGGCGGCGCTGCGAAAGAGAAGAGAACCGCATGAATAGAGTAGTGATAGAGACAGCAAGAGAGAGAGAGAGGGCTGCAGGGTTTTTGTTTTTCTTGCTTTGGTGGCCGGTTGTTATTAAGCGGAGTGGGACTGTGAAGCTTGCTGCTTTCCTAAGACAAGATTTTTAGAGAGAGAAAAGAACTGCCCTCAGTGCCCTGTGCTTGCTGTGGAGGGAGAGAGAGAGAGGTTGCTGAGATCTTAGGATTAAACGAAGCTAATTTTATTATTTATTAATAAAATAAAAAGTTTTTTTTTTATTTAATGGAGTGGGGATTAGTTGCATACTATATTGGATGGTTAATGGGTCCAAGTGGGTCAGGTTGGGGACCGGTATATTTAGAAACGGTTGCAGGTGAGCTCATAATGAATTGTTTAGGAGACTTGGATCTGATTCGGGTTCTGTGAATTCTGATGGATCCGAAACCACCCTGGCCTGATCCGTCAGGATCTCCTCTCTTATCGGGTTTGGTTGTCGGGACGAGCGGTAAGTTAGAAAAGATACGACGAATATTAAAATTTCAGTGAGTCGGATTGTCAGTCCGCCACATGGCGGCATTATATGGGAGTCCGGATGTAGAGCTACGTACGAACTCCACATAGAATAATTTCTCCCCTCACAGACGCACTTCATCATTACTTTGCATTCAAGAGTCCCTCAGTCTCACACAGGCTCACACTCAAACTCTTTTATGGACATGTTTAGGATAGTTATAACATTTTATAAAATTGATTATGAAGTTGTTATGGGGAAAGTAATTCGGCTATTCTAGTTATGAAAAACAAATTTTCATCATAAGAATTTATAAAAAAATAATAAAAAGTAGCAAAAATGGTAGATAAATAAAATTGTGGTTGTTGTCTTAAAAGTAAAGCATAAAAAATCTCTCTTAGACGAGAAATTATTATGTGCGGTTACCGGACCATCCGGAGGCGAATCAGTATGTGCCACATCACTCGGTATACAGAATTGGCACACATCAAAAAGATGACATGGCTCATCCTGATTAGCTTCCGAACGACTTTCAACAACCACACGTAATAATTTCGCCTTAAACAGACCCTTTAACAAATCACATTTACTCTCTCATCAACTCCCTCGTTCATTATTTTTCCACACCAACAAGTTAACTTGATTAATGTGCATCTTTGACATAGCTCCTTCACTAACTCATTAAGATTGTTCTATTTTTACCAATGTGCTAGTTGCGACTCTTATCTTGGTGATTAGCACTCCTACTAGTGTTTGTGCTCTCCACTTTATGTGAGTGCCTTATAGTAGAACTCCTTAATATATTATACTCCATAAAATATGTAGAAAATTTGGTGCTGCTATTGTTGTTGTCATTATGCATTTATACTTGAGATAACACGAGTCTTATGCTTTATTTGAGACGGGTTTTTTACTGCTTCTTAAAGTAATTTTTTAGTACAAAGATTTTAATTATTGTACTAAAAAATTGCTTTAAGAAGCAGTAAAGAAGTTGTGTCTAGGCTTCATTTGGGGCAACTTGTTATTGTTTTTAAAAGTAGCTTTTTAGAATAAAATTTTCTAATTCAAAATATTGTGTACTAAAAAGTTGCTTTTAAAAACAATGAAAATTATCCCAAACGAAGTTTTAGATGTTTGGAGATCAAAGGAATTCAATGTTAGCTTATTTTTTAATAATATACTTTTGTTTAGTTTTTAAAACTAAACTCTTAAGTGCCACTCAACTAATACTCTATATTTATGTTAATAGAAATTTGAGTAAAAATTGATAAGCAAGCCCACATATCAGACTGTAATCATGCTTCCACTATCCCAGTACAGCAGAACACTTTATCTGTTGTTGTATCTTGACCGTTTGGCTCTAACCTCCTAATCCTCACCGCCTCAGCATATTGATATATACTATTGTAATAGCTACATAAAAGGTCATTGAAATGAGAAAGAAGTTTTTGCATTTGCTTTTACCTTTCTTCTCTGCTTCCCGTATGATTTTTTTCTTCTATGTTCTACAAGTTCACAGGTTGTATGAAGAAGTTGAAGACAAATACTTAAAGGTTGTTCAACATGGTATCAAAGCTCATCTTTTAGCCTCACA